GTTTGCTTAGAATAGTCTATTCAATATTACTGTTTCAATTCCATATAAAACTAACTTAATTTTCTTACATTTGGGAATCTTTTAGTCTGACACGTTTACTTTAAATCTATTGACAGGTAGAATTGTAGTAAAATCTGGTGAACAGTATTCCTGTTCCAAATCCATCCTACTCAGCATGAATCCACAAATTTACTTCTAGCTTTACTATCTGACACACCTGCCATCACAACTGAATCTGTAAAGCACAAACTTACTGCTAGTTTTACCACAAAGTCTTGAGTTGACACACCTGCCATCACAACTGATGCTGATAGATTATACCACAAAGTCAACACAAATTGAAACTTAATTTCTTGATGAAACCTATTGCCAATCTGTTTATCCCATTGTGTTTGCCAAATTAAAAGTGCAGAGAGGGGTCTCCCGGGGGTTTTGGCAGCACATTAGGCCGGGCTCCCTATGGGGTTAGTGGGAATAATGCTTAATGAATGGGTTGATCTACAGGCTGGATGGTATACAGGACAGACACATGTTTGACAGGCATGTAGAGCTGACATTGAGAAATGTGTAGAAGATGAAAATAACCTGTTACGCGTGTTGCAGCGTGACATTTTAAAAAAAGGAGTGTTGAATTAAATCCAGCAATTATCATAGAATAAGTACATATTGTCTTCAAGACATACATGTATGTACATTAATGAAACGATTCAGTCAAAGCCTGCTAAAATTGTATGGTTGGACCAATTATTGAATTTCTTGGTTCTGGGATTAGACACTTCCATAACCTTCCAGGATCATTTGCAAGAAAACATACTAGTATTAGACATGATGTTCTTTCAAGTTTGCACTAACCTGTATATATATGCAAGTGGTATTTCAAGCCCTGTTTTGTTACGTAAACTTTCCTACAACTTCTTTATCCTGAACAGTTGTGAATCATGATGCTTTTGCCTAAAAAATAAGCATGTATCCCTGGTGATAGCTTTAGACTTTGAGCGTTCATGCTCCCACGTCCATAAAAGATATCGTCGTCCATAAACTTAATTGAGTTGGGAAAAAGGATCCTCATAGCCAACATGAGAATACATCCGTACGTAGGGAATCGTACTTTCATGGGGCATCGCACTTCACCGCGGTTCACTATAATAGGAGAGTCATCACACAACATGGTCCCTTTCCTCGCCGGTAGGTCTCTGAGAAGTTTATTTCTGTGCCGATTCCTGCCCTCCAAAGCTGCGTAAGCCAATGAACAGATCACCCTCTTGCCTCCCCCTCCCTTCCCCGCGAACCTTCGCCTTGGCCTGCCATGAATCTCCAGGAGTATCCATCATCCCCCACTCAGCCTTTTTGGCGGCACAGTACGGTACGAGCCGGCAAACTGCCTGGAAAGGCCGGGGACTCCCGCAGCACTGCGCTATCCATCACGCTAAAAACATTCCTGACAGAAGCTTTATAGTTTTTATACCCGCCTTGACAACAAGTACTCAGACGTGGGGATGGGACATTACACTAACAGACACAGGGAGGTCTGAGGACAAACTTTCTACCAAGGGTAATACATTATATTCTGTACACTGGGTGCTAAATTTCAACTGAGTGTGTAAGTGAAAATGGAACTTACTTCGCCAAACTGTAACCAAGAAAATTCAGCTACATTGGTCAAACATTTCTGAATCAAACTTTTAGGACCTTAAACCATACAGTTTTATCTCAGTAGTGTAGCTAACACACACTCCAAGCATGCATACCCATCTACATTGTATTTGCGAGGCGGTAACCATTTGCAACTAGAAGGCTGGCAAAAACGATTGCGTACAAAAGTACAAAAAAGAAAGCCTGATAAACATGCCTAAACCTCTGCTTGAAAAGTATACAACTTCTTCCTTTTCTAAACCTGAATGAATGAGCTATCCCTTCTCCAGAGAAGAGGGCTGGTTTTCCGTTCGGGGCTGGATAATACCCCGTCTGAGCGCGTCTCCCGAGTCAGACACCGGGAAGACGGCGGGTTTGTCGGATGATACATCGCGGAGTGAAGGCGCGCTAATGTAGACAGTGCAAGGGAGGCCAGGTGATCAATGTGCCAGGCAAGGAGGAATGGCGAGGATGGCATGATGGGGCCCAGAGGGACCACATCAAAACACTCCACATTAGACTAGACATCAGGTAATCAATTAACAGGGCAAGGAGGGGGCCACCCCACCTGTTATCAATTAACAGACAATGCACAGGAGAGAGAAGCAGGGAAAAGTAAGTAGAGAACGCTCAGCGTGACTCAACAGGCTTTCTGGGAAGATACATGGGTTTGGCACAGAAAAGAGACAGAGAAGAAAGTTCCCACACTTTACCCACAAGAGTAATTACTGCAAATTGTTTTAAGTTCATGGGGATTTCGTTTTGCAATAGGCGACAAAAGAGGCATTTTAAGTTGAAACAACTTTAACATAGAGTTACTAGTAAATAGAGCATTTTCTTTTGTGTGTTGAGTTCTCCTCAAAACACGAAACCAAGAGAATATCTCACAATTTACAGTACTCGTGTCATTTCTACTTGTAAACAGTACAGAAGGCATACAAAAGGCTGAAGCTGAAGCACCTGGTGTTAACTGACATGGAGTCATGAATTGTCCTTCGCCAATCCTTGTCTTTTCTATTTGTTATGCTCATCAGTTGCTAAGTTACCAAACTAATGATTACTGTTCTAGAACAAACATTTGAAAAGTTAATAAACTGTAGACCCTGCCATATCTTCTTTTAAAGGCATACATAGAGACAGAAAAACTCTGGTCAAGTTACATACTATTGCATCAAGTATCATCATATGGTAACCAATGACACCTAAACAACGTGGCCTCTTTTGTTCAGAATTACACAACTGCAGAATTTGATCTAGAGAACTTTCCCTCCACTGGACAGAGAACTATACGACCACACAGGCCGAGTTCAGGTTCAAGTATCTGTTATGCAGCCAAGTATCCATAACGGCCCCCCTGTATTGGCTCATAACAGACAAACGTTACTGGCTGAAACAGGTGCAACGGAGCGTTTCTCCACACAAAAGTTGCCTGGAGTCGGGCAAACACAGACGGCCATGGACGCAAATAAACAGTCCTCGAGTCTAAGTCCATTTGGGTACCATAAAACCATAAAACCTATCTCCACATCAGCCGAAGTGTACAACTGAACCACTTGTTGTAGTATATAGGACAGGTGCACAGAATGACTCTGTGTACACAGACTGGACTAAACCAAATAGACGGGGGTCGTTAGGTCATGAGCACCTGTTGACGTTGTGATTTTATGTAAATAGTCCCCTCAAAGACTGCCCCAGCCCTTGTTTATCAACCTTTAGTACAGGTGTAATGGGCCAAATAGGGTTTGTTTTGAAAGAATTTTACCTTCCAAATCAAATTTTGTAGATTCCAGTCTATACTGTAGTCATGTAGGTTAAACCTACCATTGCAAAGAAAAGAAATAGCGTTGGTAATATATGTACTATCTTGCTGGCAATAACAAACCAAATTTTTACAAATCACTGCCCTGCTTTTTTTTACAAGCTCAACCCTTTGGATTAAAGGTCTTTCTGTGGGCTGATTTAAGCTTTCACAAGCAGCTCAAACATAGCAGTGGCTACTTTATCCTTCAATCCCCAAGGATATGTGCTATTAAGGTAAACCACAACATCAATTACTCCAACACAACTTAATTCAAAGAAAAGCATTTAAAAAGATATATCAGTACATTTAATAACTGCCAAAAAACTTAGCCTACAGTACAGTATTTGATCAAATCTGGCACTTCTATTCAAATTCAGCCACTGGAACCTTTTATACATAATTAGGTTAGGTAATTGGTTGGGTTGCTAAGAGGTATGAAGGACTCGGGGCTAGGCCATTCAAGCCATGTTTTCCAAACAAACTTAGGAGTAAAGTAAGTTGTGTGTGTATAAATATGTACACTACTCCTACAGGCAAATACATTTTGTACCTGTTAAACATCCTTCAGAAATAGACAACAAAGTCATTGAAAGGAAATCAACTGTGCATTTCTGGAATAAAATTCTCAATTAGAGATATGAATTGTTGGTTTATCATGGTCCTTTTATGCGCTTGATAGCTTTGTGGTGCAAGTTGAAATGTAAATAAACTGACCAAATCAATTCCTGATATACTGTTTGTGATTCTGGCATGTTACATGCCATTTTTACCCTAAAGTCTATCTTATCTACAAACACTCTCACTACAGGCAGTTTTATCATAGTAAATTTTTAACCAATCAAATCCAGTCAAACATACAAACTTAAACACTCATTCTAGTGTTAATCAGCAAACGTTTGGCATTATAACGTTTAAGAGTAACAACATAATTGCGTTATGCCCAAGGGGTTACGACTAATTAAGCCTGTCCTAGTAACCACTATTGTGCTTGCTTGCATCGGTAGTAAACAGGTTAAACCCATCCAGTAACCACAGGCTAGATATCCATGTAGTGTTTGCTCCTCAAACAACCATCGTAATTACAAGGCAAACATTTACCTGGTACGACAAGTGTTGTAAATTTTTGGGGGGAAGGTTTTAAGTGGGGAACCAAGTCGAATATGCATTTGATTGATTGAAATGATCTGAAACTCACCTCAGTATCTTAGAATGTATTTAGAGACATTCTAAAACAATGAATTATAACGTTTTTGCTTCAACTACATAGTGTAGCCTTAGCTTTCAGAAAAAGGCCTAGGGAAAAACTTTTTTGGAGCCCAGTGATGCATATATTCATGATTTAATGTTATAATGATTTTATGCACAAAATCTTGACCAAAAAACAATAAAGGAAGTTGGAATTAATTTACGAACTGCGGTCACGTAAAGTATGACCATAGTTTGTCGACCGGCATTTTATTTTACTGCAGCAGACAATGTTAACAATCATTGAATGCATCTTGTTTTCACAGTATCGTACGAACAATGTAATGTATTTCTTTTGGTATGTTTTGTTGTAGTTTCTCACCTCTGACGCCCCCGTGAGGTCTCCGTCCGTTGGCGAGTACCTTCCCTCCATTCCCTCCATCCCGCTCTCTACTCTCCGAGAAGCTCAGGTCCAGGAACCGGCGGCCTCGGCTCGCACTTTTCGCGGTGCCGTTCTCGTTCCCGCTGGGCGTTACCGAGCGATCTGTCCCGCTTCTCCGGGACTCGGGACGACTGTCCACCATGCTAGCGCTATTTACACGCCCAGAGCGGGCCTGCTACTGCATAAAAACTGAGAAGCAAGCACCCCCTCGCCAAGTTTTGTAGCAGACGAGAAAGTTTTCCGCCGCCATGTTTGAAATCCCACCTGAGTAGCAACACAACAAAGTAAATATATCCTTCCGAATAAGGACTTCAGAAAGCCTTTGTACACGTTTTACACAAAAATAGACAAACCCAGCGCCGAAAATCTTCACATTTCCACCTAATAGAGTCGATTATGGGAATTGTTCCATCTGATCATGATTATTTGCCGTCAAACTGGGCGTACTATATTGTTGTCTGCGGATGAAGACGATTGTTTACGTCGTGAAAAGTTCCTGGCAACGGTAACGCCTCCGCTTAGTGACGTCACAGACGCACGTGCAAGAGGCATTGCCGTGTTTTCAAATGTCGTGTTGCATGATCGCACGTTTTGAAAGTGTTCTGGACAAAAAAACGTTCTTTCGAGCATGAAAATACTAGGTATACAAAATATCAATGAGGAATAGTTCTCAATCGTTGGCACTGTTTCCTAGTAACATGACTTTTTGAGGACAGAGTTTCAAGTGATGGATGTTTTGCTCACACGCACTGTGCACCTTAGCACAGTAGGTCTCAAAAGGTCAACTCCCCAGTTATGTGACACGGTGACTTTTAAATTTGTGCACATTGTGCCATAATGTTTATATATGTCCTGATATCATTGCTGCTTAATCACCCATTTCATTTAGCAGAAGATGGAAATGTCATAAAACAATGATAAGTTGATGACTTGAGGTCAGAAAGAGTCATCTGAGGTCAATCCTTTACATCCATCTCCTACTACATTGTACTACAGTAATATGCACAGATGAATGGCATTAAGTTGTACATACTTTTATATAAAACTATTGTACTGTATTATGGTGACTTCTGTCTTCAAGTTAATTTAGGATACTGTACTTGCACATAAAACATTTTAGATAGTGTGAATACTTTCCATTGAAAGTAAGCTTTTTTCCTCCATTTTCAGTAAATCGTAAGATTCTTGGTTTGGTTTTATGTTCACAAGTAGCTCAGGTCCACCACAAAATAACTATAGTTCATACCACAAACAATACACATTTGAGGATATATTTGTGTCATCCCTTTCAAATTTCTGCCTTTGGTTCTATCTTTTTCTCTCATTGCAGAGCCTGTCTGCAGAATTCTTTATTTCCCCCAAATCACCTGAGATGATGACCACACAGATCCCCAAGGTTCTCAAGTTTACAACCTCTCATTTCACTGCCCCGACCTTCCAGCCTTTCATTGCTCACTTCCACTTTACTGTACAGACTGTTTGCAGTATCAAATGTGCTAGAGATAAATCTTCATAGCAATCTTCATAAAACCTAACAACTCAGTTCATGGCATGGTCACGAATGGGCAAAGTTTGGGGAGAATAAAATAAACATGATAAAATGGCCATAGTTGCAATGTCGCACATTGACTGTATCAGAGTAAAGTATATAATGTAAAGATTTAATTATAACATTGTTAGTGATGATTGAATGAATGGTGCTCGTTACTTTGATGTAACATGTGCTACATAGTTTTCAATGAAAGACAATTAGAGTTACCACAGACAGAATTATACCAAAGTGCAATTTAAGACAGGTCTTGGCAGTGAAGATTAGTTTTAATGAGACATGGAAAATGTTACAATCAGTGTGCAGTTTTTTTTTAATAACAGACAACCCTTCTTCCATATGTACAAAAATTGACGTATGACCAATGATCATTTTTATTTTTATGGACAATGTGTTAATCAACTCATCGCTGCTTTTTCGTGAAATATCATGATGTTTAAAATGTTTATAATGATGTTGCCCTTGCCATGCCCACAATGCTTTGCAGTTTCAGCTCTCAGCTCCCATGAGTCTTTGCTTCCTGAGCTCCACCATTTTCCTCAGCCAGTGCATCTCCTTCTCCTCTGGATCAACAAACAGCTGGAAAATAAACGCAAACAATCTTCAAAAATACAAATAAACAATGATAAAATAATACAGGAAAACAAGTGTTGGCAAATGGGTAAAGAATAGTCATTCTATAAACATTAACAGCACAAAGTTTAGAGTATGTCTTTCCTTAGATTACCTTAGATTAGGTACCTTAGATTATTTTCCCATTGACCTAAACAATAGTTACCACATGTCTACTGAGCCACAGCAGTGACTATTTTCTTTACATCGATGAAGGTTAGACATCCAGGTAATACGATACGCCAAAATGCAGTTACTCAAGCAACTGGATTTCCAGATTTTCAAAATCATATCCAGTTGCTTGAGTAACTGCATTTTGACTATTTTCTTTAGTTACACAGGTTTCTCTACACATATACTGGTATTTCTTCTTACCATGACCAGAATTTACTGAGTATTGGTAAAGGAGACAATACTTTGAGTGTCTGCATCCTTTTATAATCATTTTACATACTTAAAACTTACATTTTCATGTGCCAAGACAGAGTCAGTGTCACGGTACTTGATGCCAGAATTCAGTGACAAACTTTTGGCATCCCCCTGTCCCTGACTGTTGGGGTTCAGTCCGCGAGCCACACCACTGCCGAAGATAGCCGACTCATGGGTCTGCTCATCATTCAAGTCCTGCACATGGAAACAAAGTGGATTTAACATAAAACTAAACAATACATCTAGCCAGGATGCCATCCTCCGTAGTTTCCAACAGCTCCCTAATGTCGCTGGCTACCACAGAGCCAGCTACATTAGGGAGCCGGCAGAAACTACGGAGGATGGCACCTTGGCTATAATACATCCACATATATCAGAGAAATAGCAAAGATCATGCATATCCAACAAAGTTTTGATGGACCCTCTATATATGTATAGCAAAAGTCATTGTCACAGAAACAAAATTGAATTGAAGCCCTACATGTACATGCTTCAGCACAACAGAGAATTAGCACAGAATACGTAAATTATGTACTAGTAATTGCCACAAGCTGCAAACATTCTCAATGTACCATCTAGCAAAACTGGACAAATACTTCTAGACTTATACAAAAGTCATGTATGAGACATTAAACTTAACTACCGGTAGTAGTCGCTCATGAAGAAACTTTACTGGGTTTACATCAATGACTAAATAAATGACATTTATGTGTATGTTAAATGTTTTATCCTGGGTTCAATTGCCCGTAGGTCACTGACCTTCTTGTCTGCCCTGCTACTCTTGAATGGTGCAGGTGTGAATCCAGCCTGGTCAATCTCTCCTATAGCCTGCAGTCTGGAGATCTGCTCTGTACCTGACAGGTCAACTGCACAGGGAAGAAAATTTCACTGTTGCTTTTTGTCTAGGATTCAGAGAAAAAAATAAAGCAGAGTCCTTAACGAATGGAGTTTTGTTGAGGACATCGGCAGAACTTACTGCACCTGTGCAAAACCTGTAATGTATTGTGCATATTTATAGCGCTTCAGAAGAACGTCTTGTTTAAGATCATATGCATGAATTTAACGATGATAATCCATCTGTAGTTTTCAAACATTGTATCAAAAAGATAATGTTTGCAACAGGCAAAATTCTGATGCATCATTTATCACTTATAGGTGGTCTTGTGGTTCGGGTTGTTGACTTACATGTATAATCTAAAGGTTCTAGGTTCGAATCCCTGGCAGGCCCCATTGTTGTGTCCTTGGGAAATTTTTACAATTGCAGAAAAAATACATAAATTGCAGTATTTTTTCCAGTTTTCCCCGTTCAATAACATTATAACACTATTCCATATTGTTTACTGAGCTACCCCATCCCAGTTTTCCTTTGTCTGCCTCCCCATTGCCCCACCCGGCAACGGTAACCAGGACAGACAGCTGTGGAACGCCACCATCCACGCGAATCAACCTCCCAGCATCCCTGCCATATTGCAATTATGGAATGGGTTTTGTATGAGTAAATTACAGTCGTTCCAAATTTGTCTCATCAAGAGAATTGAGTTCAATTTGGCAGCAAATTTTAAGGCTTCATCAAGTCTGACAATATTGGATTGACCATGTAAGGCAAGGCACTGACACTTATAAAGAATGACACAGGTCTATAGAAGAGACAGGAAGGGGAATTACTGTTCGGAGCAATTAATTAAAGCTACCATATTTTGAAAATTGGTCCTTGACAAGAAACCCTTGTGCTATGTAAAGAAGGATATCTTATGATGAGTGTTTTTTTTTGGCAATGTCAACAGATATTTTGAAATTCTGAATCATACACAGTCATGTGAGAGTTAACAGGATAGGTCAGATTCAAGTCCTGATTAGAGACAGTTGGTAAGTTGTAAAGAATGACAAAGGTCTATAGCAGAGATATGGGAAGGGAAATTACTGTTCAGATCAATTCAATAAAGCTACAATTATTTGAAATTGGTTCTTGACAAAAAAACCAGTACACTGTGTAAAGAAAGATATACTGTATTTTATGATGAGTGTTTTCTTGTTAACATCAACAGATTTCAAACATGGAGAGTTAATACTTGTAGGTCAGATTCAAGTTCTGAAGTAGGGTTGGTAACGTTTTGCTGACATTCTATATCATGTGTTGTGCACCCCAAAAGTTTTTGTGCACCAGAATTTTCAGGATAGGCACACCTGTGCACTTGTGTATTCCCAAAACAATCCTTGCCAAAAGTTTTGTCAGGAACCTGGGATGCACCTGTCTTTTACACTGACTGATAACTGCAACATCTTCATACAATATTGCGCCGAAAGTTTGGTGCACCTATTCCCCAATGTTGCATCTAAAAGTTCCGTGCACGTATTCCCTAAAATGATCCCTGCCAAAAGTTTGTCAGGAAGCTGAGATGCACCTGTCTTTTACACTGAGTGATGCCGGCAAAATTTTCAAACAATATTGCACCAAAAGTTAGATGCACAGTCTATATTCCCCAACATTGCACCTAAAGTTCAATCAGTGCACCTGTGCACCTTTTCCGCAATGTTGCACCTAAAGTTCTGTGCACCTGTGTACCTATGTCCCCTAAAACGATCCCTGCCAAAACTTTGTCAGGTAGCTGAGATGCGCCTGTCCATTGGGCTGAGTGATGACTGCAGAATTTTCATACAATGTTGCACCTCTGCACCTATTCCCCAATGTTGCACCTTAAGTTTGGTGCACCTGTGCACCTATTTCCCCCATAAACGATCCCTGCCAAAACTTTGTCAGGTAGCTGAGATGCGCCTGTCCGTTGCGCTGAGTGATGACTGCAGAAGTTCTTATGGGTCACGAATCCGCCGAACCCTGGATCATGTAAGGAGAACTTTGTGTTGGCCTGATTTATCTGTGTCCGCACACACTGACAGGTGATGCATCAGGCCCATCTCATAACAATAGCGCCCCCCTCCCCAGGGACACCAGCACGATACAGCTCTTATTAATTGTCAGGCCACAAAATATCTGGCCACAATGGAGGACTGGCCCAATGCTTCATATCATCAAACCCTCAATCTCATGTGTAATTGTGATGGTACAAGATGAGTTTTTCAAGATACAATGTTGCGTGATCTAAAGTAAATACTAGTATGTGAATCTACTAAGTATACATGTAGCTTTCATAACATATATCATAAGATACAGCTCTTATTAATTGTCAGGCCACAAAATATCTGGCCACAATGGAGGACTAGCCCAATGCTTCATATCATCAAACCCTCAATCTCATATTGTAGATTGTATAATTATGTTGGTAGTCAAGATGGGTTTTCCAAGATCTTTATACAATGTTGCATCATCTACATGTAGTACATATGTCAATGAATACATGTAACTTTCATAACATATACACTGTTTCATAAAATTAATCATTTTCAGGAGAAGTACAGTCTGAATCTTGTTCAATTTTATTTTCAGTAGAATAGGAGGAAAAAATATGATTTTCTGCATCATTATCATCATTATACTTTTTCACTCTTTTTATGGATAATTACATTTTAGTCATACTTTATCCCCAGCAACATTTCTTGCAGAATAAATACTATCGTTGTAACAAACCTGTTTTGACTGGAATTATCAAGTCACTTGCCGTCAGTATTTGTAACTCTCATAAAAAAATAATTTTATAGTACAAATAATTGTTATCTAAAATCAATAAATCACTGTTCCAACCTGACTTCTAAACTAAAGCATTCCAAGTCACTGAGTTTGAACATTTTAGACACACGGTTTGGGTATGTTCTTCACGGACCATTGAGCAGAAAGTTGTCTCCTTCAAACAACAATGCGGCTGTCGACCGGTGTAAAAGTCTGGGCAGACACAATGAGTCTTGTCAGACTTCAAAATCCGTGCGCTAAGTGCAGCATTTGACCACAATGAACTCGATATGCTTCTACCACCTTTGGAGAGGATCCAGGTAAATTAAATCAAACTGTCCCATTGTTCCGCCCGTCCCGGGGGTGCGATCTCCCCGGGGCACCCGGGTAACGCCGCTCGATGGAGCCAACATCATGTGAAAGGAAGTGTGGTTAATAATTAATCCGGCATTACAGGACTGGCGATAACGGCACACAGCCATCATACATTCGTCAGGCGGAAATGGGGGTAGACGTCGGGGCACGTCGCCCAGGCAGCGCCGGGGAACAACGGTTATCTCGTGCTATCAGCGTGACGAGACAAAAAAGGGACACCCTCATGGTGGGACTCCTGGGTAACATTACTGTAGGGAGATGGAGATATAACAGATATAACTTTGATACATCTGTATCATGTTGTACAAAAACGCTGCAGTGGGAAAGAACTTGCACTGGCTGCTCTTTCTGTTCACACTGGTTAGTGATTATATCGTTTGCAGGGCTCGAAATACCACCTGTATATGCAGGTTAGTGCAGATAAAATAGGAGCTGTGTATTTCTGGAGTGTACCTGCACCTAACCAGTTACCTATACCAGTCCTTATACTGGATTTATACACACATACAAATGTACATGCAGGTATGCACAAATGTACTTGGCTGGGCTGGCTTTATTTATCAGATTTTCTACATTCCCTTGACTACCAGGAAATTATGAATCAAAACAGTGCCTCATATCAAATTAACAATGCAATTTTACAAAAAATGTTTCAACCAAAGAAAAGGTGGTGAACCACATCAGCTGATGATCTATATATATATATAACAACCAAACCTTGTTTTCTATCCTGTACATACGTAACTTACCGGTAGTTCATCACTTTTGACCTACTTTTGGAAGTCATTTCCAAGTCAGGTCATGTCTTGAAGGATGTAACACAGTCTTCTATTGCTGACCTGATATTTGGAGTCCAAACTACAAATCAATAGACAAATTTGATGACTGAAATTTTCATGATGACAGAAATGCACTTTAGAACACCTGTGCTTTAAAGATATTAATCAACATCAAGCAAATAGAGTTTAAACCATCAGGTAAAATTTGCACAATTTGCTATTATGTAGTGTCTTATATTGTACATGGTGTCTTCTATCAATAATGTATAGCTTAGAATCTCTGTGTAGATTGTACTAGAATAATGTGATTATACAGTGTCTTATACAGCGCTTTGCCTTGAATGTTTTACAACTGTTTTGCAATAAACTTTGACTTGCCTTGTTTGGTAGAAATCTATGCATAATTTTGATGCGGGAACACAAAGTTTGCGGGCAGAAAGATACCCTATCACTGCAAAGGTTCTCAGTAGCCATTAGCATCACCTGACTTAATTAAATTAAGGCTTGGTGGGATGACATCAAGAGGAATTATGGCTGGGGCCTGTCAGGACAGATTTCCCACAGCGAGGGGGAAATGAAATAATTGGGTTTTGATGGCCGAGGCGGGAGGGCAGCAGGCAGGCGGCATTAATAATTCAGCCGTGATGGATGGACGGAATCCGCGGCCGGCTTTGTTTCGCGCAGGATGGATGACGGGAAACGGCGGGAATGAAGGCGGGAACAATGGCAGCTTTGTCGTAGCGGGGGGAGCTGCGAGGGGCGGCCATCAGCCCGGCACCCATCAAACACATGGCGTTAATGGTGGGGAATGTCGCCCATCAATAATGCAGCTTTGGCAATGGGATCACCATGGCGGCAGCCCTCTCTTACACAGGTCGGCAAGTTTCCCAACAAAGTGTCACTCGGAACTCGACAAGGAGTATGGGGAGGGGGCATGTCTTGCTAATGTTTACAGAAGGAAAACATATTGTTTTTGCTCAGTTTCCTCTTCTCCAAACACAAAAGGTCAATGACCTGGGCCATCACCATGGTAACTAGTGTTGGGTTACACCATGTTGCAATTCTATAGTAGAAGGGATTTAGACTCCTGTCACCATATGATATATATGAATGTGTTTGAGTAAGAATTAACGGAGCAGTTATGCTAAGGTAAACATAATGCATTTGCTTTGCAAATGTTACCTTTCTAGTTTTGTTTTATGATCTGACTTATGAAGATTTACCACATTTGTGGAAGGATTGACCCCCTTAAGTGACTTTCCCAAGAACACAACAATCAAAACCCAGAACCTTTCAATTCTGTAACAACCCTAACCACAAGACCACCTTGTTATGGCATCTGTGGTCTAGTGGTTAGGCTAGCAAACAAGGGATTGACATGAGTTTGATTCCTGGCATTCCTGGCAGACGTTGTATAGTTTTAAAAAATACTTTACACTTCCATACCTTTCAAAACATTTTGGTATGTCCCATATCTGCTACTAGCACAATGTTGTATCTCCTCTAATGGAATGTACCAAACTGGAGAGGTGGTGATCTTTTATGATCTATCCGAAACTACCCCTTCTTAACGTTAGATTACCTCAGTCTCTTTAGAAAGAAAAGCAATGGCCAACTGTACAATGCAATGTCTGTTCTCTATCACTCACCTTGAGTCTTTTGTTTCTCCTCTTCTTTCTTGATCTGGTCACTCACTACTGCAGACTCTAAAGCCTGCTTCATTTGCTGCTTTACTCTCTCTGGTGCAGTCTGGGGAGAAAAATGAAAAAATATTACCTCTAAAGTCATTTACAAAATCAAAAGCTTTAATATGCATTCAGGATATTCCATGATACTTTTCTACAGATTGTACATATCCAGGACACTGTCCATGGTACTGAAAAACTTTCGTGTATTTTTAAACGAAAGGAGGAGAAAGTTGTGCAAAGTGCCTTTCCCAAGGGCACAAGATTGGTGGCATGGCAGGATTCAAACCCAGAACCACTTGGTTCTGAGTCAAATACTCTGCCATTACGCCACATGACCCTACGACAACATTGGTGGCTAGAGAACAGCATTTTATAAGTATAGGTGCTGAAAGACTCTTATGTAAGACTTAGTAATGCAATTAACACCTTCCATGTAACCAGTACAGGACTTTGGTATTAAAAAGCTTTGGGCTTTCAGGCAATCTTGGTGATGTCCATGGTACTGAAGCATTTTCATGTCATGAGAACCATGCATGTGGAACAATCTAATCAAGATCATGGCTACAGTAAAGAACAACATTTAATGTAATCAGCCTTGTGTTTGTGGTGTTGGGGATGTAGTCATCTTATCAAGATAGATTGTACTGGTACTGGTAGTGGTAGTGGTAGTGGAGAGCTTTAAAAGTCAAGAACATCAAATACTCAAGCTATAAACCTTTCACCATCCATTCATATCTTAAGTATTAATTATTTAAATTCTAGCAAGGAGGTTCAAAAAGGAACCTACTGGTAGAGGTGTGTGTTCAATTTCCATAAATGCTGAGTGCTAAGAAGAGAAGGGCTCAACTCTAGTGTTAAAACACCTTTTTCTACAGTCATGTAGTTTTCTTTATTGCCTGAAATTCAGCCTTGTTAAGATATACATGAAGGTGCGCTCTAAAAAATTCACTCCCCAGGAAGTGAATTTTTGGGAGAGAATCTAAAACCTAACAGAAGCTAGAGCCTAACAAGCCTGGATTTCAGTCTACCTACTTCACACAATAAGCAACAACTTTGTAAAAAGAGTTAACAGAATACAATGTTATTTGCCCTGATCTGCCCAGTATCAAGGCCAGTGTGCCCTGTGCATCAGAGTTCCCGTGTGACCACCCTATGGTAATTCCTTAATTGAATTATGTCATTAATGCAATTATACTAATGGCCTGATGAGGCATACATTATATCAACAGCTGGGAGTCATCACTTTGATCATACAGAATATATCTTAATTTATAAGAAACACTTCAACTTCTTTTGAAGACCCATAGCCAGAGTCCTAAGATTTCTCAAAGTCTTGACCGTGTGAAATCAGATAGGGGGTATCTTGTACTTTTGGACAGGAAAGGGTGCTCAGAATAATTGGCTGAGGCCATAACCTAATTACACTAATAGCTGATGGACTCTCCAATCCAGTCCCACGGGGATCATGATGAAGTATATGGACTTCTTCTAACTGCACCATTTTGGGCAATTCTGCTGTTAAAAGTTCTGAAAGAATTAAAAGGAGGTTTAGGCAAGCAAAGGTTCAGAATCTTACAGGTTCAAATCCCTATCCGGTGCCAGTGTTGGGCCCTTCAGGTGAATTTCTGACTTGACTCAAACGAGTCAAAGGATGGGATGTAAAGACTGTCTGGTCCACGTCTCGTGTTTCAGGAGAGCCACACCTTGAGCAGGTTAAAGAACCCACTACACTTATCAATAAGAATATACATGTAATAAAAGTAGGAATCCATCCCTTTGTGAATGGATCGGTTTGTTGTTATGCAGCTCAAAATGCAGCCTATGCAGCTTATGCAGCTGTTTCAGGCTTACCGGCTATCAGGCCTCGAAATCAACTTTTCTTCCTATTGTCCCAGCACTGTCCCAAAAATAAATTTCAAATTCAATTGCCCCAAAGTGAGGATAAACTGTCCCAACCTGTTTTTGGGAAGTATTGTACGACTTCAACTTGAAGTCAACTTTATTTTGCTTATGTTCATTCCCAGGCACACTATAATTGAAGAGTAGACAGAAATCTGGATCCAAAAGCTGGGACGTGTGCCTGATAAACAAAAGAAGGGCTGACATTCTGATGTTGATTATTTTTCTATTGTCCCAAGTGTCTCTTTCCTTGTCCCAGCCTAAATTTTAGTGGTCAGTGGCCACTGGACCACCTTTAATTTTGAGCCCTGCTATGTGAAACAAACAGTGTCTAAGTGTGGTGAGAAACGTCTGACTCATTCCTGCACTGATGTAATTTCCCGTGGTGACAAGGACTTGGACAAGTGGCGGTATCAGCATTCCACCACAAATATAATGTCATTATCACAATCTGGGCGGGACAAAAGTTCACCGAGGAGCAATGCCGCTCCATTTGTCGAGAGAAAATGTGATAAAACTAACCTAATTTCTGTCATGCGAGAATGATAGGGGGTGTGATCGCCAGGGCCAAATGGTGGGAAACACTCTCGCCACAACTTTAATTGCCCGATCCCCCTCTAATTGATTTGATTAACTCGCACCATTAATTAGATTATCCCATTAGAATAACATGATTCAAAAATTAGGCTGCCACCAGATCTTCTGATGGGGGCAAACACCTCTGCAGTCAACTTGGAAGATGTCGAGTTTGATAGGGAAAAAACTTGGCCTACTAGTAAGGCCTAGGAGAAAAATGTTCTGTTTCCTGCTTCAGTCCTGAAAAAAATAGGGTCGGTAGGTAGGGATTACCTTTTTTTTTCTTTTCTTTTTTTAGACTTTGGCATCTCTATATAGTGATCCAACTTGTACAATACAGTTTAACAAAGTCAAACTTGCATGAGGACACTTCTAGTTTCAATGTCAATGTTGGAAATCCGATTGTACAATGTTTCATCACTCAGGTGTCAGATCATGGAGCTAGAAAAGGTTTATCAGCTCAAAGAATGTAATATGTCCCTTGCAGGGGTCGGTTGGGAAAAAGGAAACACTAGGCAAACCTAACTCTACTCTACCCTCTCTATTTTCTTTTGACTTTGTGAAGTTCATGTATACTATAGGGTATAAAGAACCAAAGACACTTATAATTCTAGAAGAGTAGAATAACTTGGTAGGCTTAGCTATAAAAGCGAGCTGTAGCAAAACATTTGAATTTCAGACACATTGTACTAGTAAGTTAATGCTTTTGTACCTGTGCCTAAACCCATCCTTATTTTTGAGGGCCAAGGACCATGGAAGCTCTTAGCATCACAATGCTTCTAAAAGTTCCAATTTTGGAAGTAAACTTCACAATCTTAATTGATAAAACTGGGTTGAAGCTTGAAGTAACAAATAACGGTGCTAACTGCAGGAAAACTGTTCCTCATGCCGGGAGCGAGGGGGGAAAGGAATGGCCCCTCATTTCCAATCTCACACCAAAACTCGCACAAATTGAATAACTCCATTAAAGCTCTATAAATTATGGTCAGGTCGCGACCCGGGGGCATGCCACTTCCATCAGCGTTTGGCTGCTCTCTCCGCGTGCGGTTGGTCCATCCATCAGACCCGCCTGGACCACTCCGCCTGCGACTCGCAGCCATCCATCAACCGCCCGACCCTCCTCCCGAACATCCATCACCGTAACCATGGCAACAGTCAGCTGGCAAGCCCGCCCCATCCATCACGGCCGCCGTAATCACATTTCGGCAGAAACAATAACTTCACAGCAGGGAGCCCCGCAACTTTCTCTCCATCATGTCTGGTGGATGAGTGAAGGGTGGACAAAATAACTAACCTCACAGAACCACATCATGACAGGTTTTTTCAATGAAGACATTTTTATTAGGACTAGCAAAATACCATAGAAGTAGCCGTAAAATAAATTGAACAGCCAAAGAAACAACTTGTTTTGAGCTCTGCAACTTTCTCTCCATCATGTCTGATGGATGAGTGAAGGGTGGACAAAATAACTAACCTCACAGAACCACATCATGACAGGTTTTTTCAATGAACACATTTTTATTAGGACTGGCAAAATACCATAGAAGTAGGCGTACAATAAATTGAACAGCCAAAGAAACAACTTGTTTTGAGCTCCGCAACTTTCTCTCCATCATGTCTGGTGGATGAGTGAAGGGTAGACAAAATAAGTAACCTCACAGAACCACATCATGACAGGTTTTTTCAATGAAGACATTTTTATTAGGACTAGCAAAATACCATAGAAATTTACCATAAAATAAATTGAACAACCAAAGAAACAACTTGTTTTAAGCTCCGCAACTTTCTCTCCATCATGTCTGGGGTGTGAGTGAAGGGTGGACAAAATAACTAACCTCACAGAACCACATCATGACAGGTTTTTTCATTGCAGACATTTTTGTAGGACTAGCAAAATACCATAGAAGTAGCCGTAAAATAATTGAACAGCCAAAGAAACAACTTGTTTTGAGCTCTGCAACTTTCTCTCCATCATGTCTGATGGATGAGTGAAGGGTGGACAAAATAACTAACCTCACAGAACCACATCATGACAGGTGGAGAAGCAGTAAACGGTATACTAAGATCTTTTTCAATGAAGACATTTTTATTAGGACTAGCAAAATACTATAGAGGTAGCCATGAGGTCCACGTACACAGATAAATTAAACAGCTAAAGAAACGACTTGTTTTGAGCTCCACAACTTTCTCTCCATCGTGTCTAGAGTGTGAGTGAAGGGTGGACAAAATAACAAACCTCACAGAACCACATCATGACAGGTGGGAAAGCAGGGAACGGTACTATGATCTTTTTCAGTGAAGACATTTTTATTAGGACTAGCAAAATACCATAAAGGTAGCAGTGAGATACATGTACATTTTGTACACAGATAAATTGAACAGCCAAAGAAACAACTTGTCCTGAGCTCCGCTTTTTCTCCATCATGTCTGGAATGTGAGTGAAGGGTGCACAAAATATCAAACTTCATACACTTATATCATGACAGGTAGAAAGCAGTTTTTTTTTCAATGGAGACATTTTTATTAGGACTAGCAAAGTACAATAAGTAGCCGTGAGGTCCACGTACACGATAGATTGAACAGCCAAAGAAACAACTTGTTTGAATTATATACTCAAGGCTACTCAAGAGGCTTGGCATACAAAAGCAATATATCACTTCCTGGATGCTATAGTTTGACAGATACTATCCCTAAGGTGATTGTACAATCTGTAATTTTATTACACCATGCTGTATCCTCACTTGGCCTTACATATGAAGGTGAGTTCTAGTGGTTAGGCTAGCAGACACTGGATTAAGAGGGCATGGGTTTGATTCCTGGCTAGATGTTGTTCCTTTGGAAAATGCACTTAGCACAACATTCCTCACTCCACCTAGGTGTAAATGGGTACCTGACTTCAGTTGGGGAGGTAAAACTAAAAGGCAGTGGAAGAAGAGGGATGGGCTCCACCTTCCAATATGTACCGTGCCCAAGACACAGTGGATTATCAACCCACTGCCCCTACTGCCTCAAAAGTTTGTGGGACCTTTAATTTTTACCGCTACCATTTACCTGTAAAATCACACAGCCAAGAAAATGTCCAATACAAGAATCATGATCACACATCCAAAAACTTCGAAAGCAAACGTGTAAGTTTGAAATTTTGGCCACTGTCCATTGCTCTGGACAGCCCACATATGTCCGGCAAGACGTACAACTGGCCATGTCCTGACCCCAACTATCCAATCCCTGCCAAATGGGCAGCATATGTCCTCCCCACTTACTGTAATTGGGGAGTGGGAAACAATCACCTGTAGTAGGCCGGGCTACAGCCCCACCACCACCTCGGCAGCCCTGGCACCGACCCAAAACACTTATCATGATTGGAAACCAGGAAATAATCTGGCAGCATGTTCCTGTCATGTACCGGTGACAGCTGACAAATGGACAATGATGACTCCATTGTCGTTGAGTTGGAAATTAAGGGGCAAGCCTGGGGGCTGGTAGCAAAGCTACCGTGCTGACACCCTGCAAAGTAAACGATACCTTTTTTAGACTTAATCAACAAATAATCCAACAATTTTCATCAAGAAGATCTTACATAGAAATTTTTTTTTTAAATTAAGGGGTGAAAGCTTAGGTGCTAGTAGCAACGATACTATGGTAACACCATGCAAATTGAATGTAAATGATACCATGATCTTGATCTGACATTTTTTCCTCAGAGATTTTACATGGAAAAGTTTAGTTTTTAAACTTGAAATTTAATCTCTCCTTTTACAAATAATCTGGCATTTTTAGATAAATTTCTTCATTGAGAAGATTTAGAATGATGAAAAAGTTCATGTTTTATACTTTTAGATAAATCATTCTTTTGGCAAATAATTTTGCATCATTTTTGACAGTTCATCAAGAAGATGTTACAATTTTACATAGAAAAGTTTTATTATTTAAAGAACCAATTTGAAATCTCTTCTGTTCGCAATGAGTTTAGAGTAGTATAATTTTGTTTCCTTCCATTGCCATTCGTTTGCCAACAGTGAAAAAAGTAATTGCCAAAAAGTTTCTAGCTCCACACCAAATCTCTTATAAGGCTTCTAAGACCATAACCTGGCAACCTTGACATTATTTTTTAAAAGAAAAGGCAGACGTTTGGATATAGGATATCTCGTCATTCCTCTGTGATGTAGTTTATACCAGAGTGGATAGCCCTCACGTACTTTACTTCTACCATATTTGGGGTTTTCCTTGTCATCTGTCCTGTTACTTTCCGTCTAAATGATGAGGGTCACCGTCAGGGCCCCCGCTCTCTCCCACTAACTGCCATGTTTCCATTTGGGGGTTAAATGTTACGTCCAGAACTCCGGATTCTTCATTCCCCGCTTGCTTTTCCCTCGCAGGGTCGTGTCAGACGGAGGAAGCCTGTGTCAGGTCTGACCGATGGCTGCCGTAGGCGGGCCTACTGACCCTTCCCTCCAAACTGTCACTTTTCCATTAAGGGGTTAAACTTCACAGTGCAGCGGCATCACACCATCCATTAGGTTAAACTTCGCAGTGGTGATGCAGCAGCCCATCCATCAGGTGTGGAATGCGCAGTGGAGGAGGACCACTAGTCCATTAGTAAGGCTAAGCTGGTGTTGTTGGCGCTTTGCTCTCAGGTTAGTGATGGGAACGTTAGCCCGCATCTTGGCACACAACTCAAGCTCAAGCTCTGCCAGAACTGAGGGATGGGCACTGTTGTACTGTACCTGTACCTACAAAATTAACCAAAGGTCCAGATTTAGTGTAGCTGCACCTGAATAACATGAAACACTTTGTGGATGAAATCTTGTCTCAAATCCGTAAATAGTTCCAAGTTGGTAAGCCACTGAATAAAGAGACTCCTTTCGCACAACTAAGTGGTTTATTCAGCCGATGTTTCAGTGACCGTCTGTCACCTTCCTCACGGTAGTTCTGATTGGTTCACATTACTTTACCATTTTTAAAGACTAGGTAAATCTGGTTTCAAAGATCTGGTCTCAACTTTGACAATGTAACTTAGTAAAACTTGTGATAAAAGAATATGTAAATCCTCATACAAGTTTATCTCTTTGAGGAATGGGGATAGGTAGACAGTATGAATGCTACAGGTATGATTTTGTCAAAATCCCAAAGAGACAAATCTAGCGCATTGATGTGCGCTTCAGAAATAGCGAATTCTTTATTTGCTAAATTGCTTTGGATATTTGTGCTTCAACTGTAGATGTGTAGGTCCTTTCATTGGCTAAATGTCTTTACAATGATTAACATTAGCATCATACAAACAGGATTTCAGGCATACAAACATGAACAAGTTGTATGCTAGAATTGCACTTGTCAAAGTTGCAGCAATCCTTCCATACTTCCTACGAGACCTTTTGGACTCCTGTATTTTCCACACAAGACCCTGTCTCACTCTCTGTGTGCCATATGCTCTGCCATAAAGCCCAGATCCACAACCTATTATCCTGAGTGTCCACATTAAGTGCCATTTTGGTAAAAGCAAGTCGTGCCCATAAACCCCACATAGTGGCCCATCCCTGCTGAACCTCGCAATGTGGCACGGCCGTTAGGCCCGGCGTAGACTACACAAGCAGGCCTGGCGATGGCTTTCGTCGTGATACGGGAACCGCCGCGGACATAAATCTGCGCGCTCTGCCGGTATTACGCGGCCGTAAAAGCTGGTGAGACAATAACCATTACGTTACAGGTCTCTGTTTGCCGCCACCCATCAGTGCTACAACCACGTGAAACAAGAGGGGTGTAACGTACCAGGACAATTGCCATTGACCCCCATTAGGCTGAATGGCTTTCTGTGTTACCAGCCATAAAAGGGCTATCTCCCAAATCCGGTCGTTGGGCGGGATGTGGATTTAAGTCAGGACAAATGACGGGGGAGGGAGGGGGATCAGTACAGATGCTACCACATTAACACAACTGCCACAGAGTCTATTAAACCGCGTGCTCCCTTCAAACACCATCACCATTCATTAGGGCATCGTCTTAACTCGCTTTTCTGCGGCTCCGAAAAAGACATTCCAACCATCATGATCATCTGTCACGTGGTTATGGTCGCAGTAAATCCAATAAAACATAGAAATGCAATAACACAAATAACATTCATTTAGAGTCATCCAACATAAACTCCAATTTCATAGCCATTATCATTATGGGCCGACATAGGCCATATATATGGGCCAAATCTAGGAACTGTTATAAGTTTCAAGTGCGTACATAGTAAATTGTTTATTGTACAAATGTACATATAAGCACTTTTCCAGACTGTATTCATTAAAAAGAGATAATTCCATTGGCCGTAAAACAGTCAGGATAATGAAGAGGAAAGCATGTGGGATTTGTGTTTTATGCTTTTCCTACAGCAAGTATCAAAAAGTCATCATAATCTACAACAAAGGCAGATAAATGAAAAATGTCAATCCAACAATTTTCCACAATACTTCACATTATGAAACCAGCATTATGCCTGGCGTATTTGAAGCCACAGTTGTCACTAGAAGTAAAACAAATGGAAAATAAAAGTGGTATAGGAATACATTTTTAAACAAATGTCAGAACTTGAGTTTCCAAACAAGAATATTATTATAGAAGGCTACAATATTCTGTATGACTGCAGACGACTTGAAGTGGGCCAGTATGACTGAAGTATACAACTTATTCAACCATATACGATATAGTTACATGTACAAAATGTAGTATCCCAAGGGTTGAATGAAGACCAGATTTTTTAACAGAGCATTCATTCTGTGACATGGACCCAAATGCTACAGGAGTCACACAATTTAGCAAACATACAAGTTGTAATCACATAACCGCGAAGTTCTAAAGCGTTCACGCAATCAATGCAATTTGATCCTGGTGCTTTTCAGACATACCATGCATGATATACTGACAGGTTCTATCAAACCTCTTGTCCCCCTTTAATTGCACAGCTCCCATTCTGGGTGCACAAAAGTGCATACACAACACACCCAGTATTTTGAGCTCTGAAACCATATGAACATTCCATGAATACTTTACCAGTTCTTCCTCCTTCACAGCAGCTTCCTTCTCCGCCTGGCCTCTGCTGCTGGAGGCTTCTCTGGACCGAGACCGGCGCTTAGACGACCCCCGGGACTTTGAGTGGGAGCGAGACCGCCGTCTGGAGGAACCGCGGGAACGTGAACGAGAGCGTCGCTTGTGCTTCTTCTCTCTGTACGCCAGAAGAAAATCATTACAACCTTCTCAAATACCACTGTTTGGTGCTTATGAATGAGTACATAATTTCAAGGAGCTATTTACTGTATATCGCTGAAAATTTTGTTTCTAGGGCTTAATTTCGCAGTAGCAGGGGAATTAGTCACTTTTTGTTTTAAGTTGTTTTAAGTTAAGGCAATATAGTAATACTGCCAGAGTGCATGTTTGAAACTTTTGATGAGTCCAATGCAATGGCAAAAGTGCAATTTATTGTAAAATCATTGTACAAATATTTTGCAATTCGCAGTAAATTATTATCATTTAGTTTAAATACTGCTTTTCGTTTGTTTGTCTGCTTTTTTGTCAGTTTCAGTCCTCTATTTTGAAGAAGCAAGACTATTTAAGAAGAAACCATCATGTTTCAAGAAAGCTAATAGTAAACTTTTTTTACTATGACAAAAAAAAGAGCCTTACTTGTGAGATTTCTTTGACTTGCTTCTTGATGATGACCTTGACCTTGACCTGCGTCTCCGTGACGATGACCTTGATCTTGACCTTCGTCTCCGTGAGGAGGACTTGGATCGTGATCTACGTTTCCTATGACGATCGCTGGATGTACTCCTTAGTAATCGAGAACATAAAAGGGTTTAGCAAATAATGGCGCTCAAAAGCAATTTCAGGGCAGTAAAACTCGATCGTCAAAGTTTATTTTCTGGTCAGGTTTTTTAGCAAGTTGAAGCAACCTTATCCCATAGCATACTGACGTCTGTGAGGCAAAAATGTGATATCGCCGATGGAAAACGGTTGCTTTTTGAATCGTATTGTAGGCTGGTTCTTCATGTAGCTATTGATTGGTGGTACCCCAAAATAAAGGGACTCCTCACATAGCCTACTAAAGTAAACTTGTTTTGGGGCTATTTCAAACACTTTAAGTAAGAAATGATGACAAAAAGCTAAGATAGGGCAGTAAATGTCAATATCAGAATTCCTCATCCAGAATATATTTTGTTTTGTTTTGTTTTGTTTTGTTTTGTTTTGTTTTGTTGCAATGAATGCCTTTAAGCTTCACTTTCTCAGGCTCAAAGAATGGAACAGCAAACACAAACACTTTGAAATCAGAATTTTTTTTATTGTAACACGACATCAGATCCTTTTTTATCTCTAGCGTTATGATTTTAAAAATGTTTACCTGCTTTGTCAGTTTCTTGCACGAAACTCAGACGTTAATACTGTAGATGAGCACTACTTCCTATCCTACACAACTGACTAGCATTACCAAAACAATAAGTTTTTATACACATGTACACGTCCCATACCTGCTACGGGACCGGGAACGCTTCTTCTTGTCGTGCTTACGACTGTGTTTTCTCCGATCATCGTCAGAAGAGCTGAAAGTGAAAGTGGAACAAAATCCTTCTGAAATCTGCGTGCTATATTATTATGTTGAAAAATAACAATAGATTGTACGCAAATACTTGCACATGTGCCACTAAATTTGTAAACTGTGGCAGTAAAGCTATTGTTGGTTTGCCCGGAAAACTTTAACACGTCGTAAAGCAATATATATTGTGCCATATACTTTTTAGCTGTTCTTGCTTTCCCGTCTTGCAGCGCCCCCCTCCCCCTTACCTGTGGCGCTTCTTGGACCGCGAACGGGACCGGGAGCGGCGTTTTCGTCTCCTCTTTTTCCTGTCCTCCTCACTTTCATAATCAGAGCGACCCATGTTTCTTAAATACACCTCTAACCGCAGTAACTGTGCACTATAACGGCAGAGAGGCGCGAAAAATAAACGCAGAAAAATCGCTTCACTTTCTCCTGGGCGCCGCCATCTTGGTTTTGCGGAGGATGACGGGACGTCGTTGAGAGGTCATCGCCCCAGGTCGGGAAAGGTCAAGAAACAAAATGTTGTAAAAAGTTCCCTCTCCTTCACCATTTCTGATCTGTAAGGCAAATATAAATAGATCTTTTTGCTTCGATGTCCGCTATTGTGATAATCAAGTCAGAGAACTAACAGTAAATAGATGTGCTTGCCACGCCATCCAATGAGAGTACATTAGCGTCCATATTGGGCCTGTCCTTAGTGCTGATAAGTCATCACTGCAACAAACTTTGATTATGAATGTTGCAGATAAACGGCTCCTTGGACATGTATCTTGAATTGCACAGTCAAGAGATTTTTCTGTGCCGTGGTGAACAGGTCCGTTGTGTCTGCTATGTAGCACGAGGTGTAGTTTGGCGGCAAAGCGAAAAATATTCTGGATAACGAAATCTAACGTTACCTAACGGGTATTGAAACATAGAGTTACAATTTGCGTTATCATTCATCATGTCTAATGTTCAGTTAACAGTACAAAAATATCCCCTACCAAGGTCTCCTTATTCCAAGGTGTCCTTATTCCAACGAACATGGGTTGTTCGTTGGACAATGACGTTGCATTGTCACTCCCTAGCTTTAGCTTACTGAATTAAAGAAATAACAGGAAAATTGACATCAAACATCGTCCTGATCTTACAACGTGGTTAATAATTTTCTTCGGTTTTGTCGTTCACTTTACCTAAGGAAATTGTATGTTCCTAAAGCCCATAGACTGACTAGTTACTACGCTACCTGCTGGCTTTGTGACCCATTCACATGCAATATCCCCTGGATCTATCGAAACGACATCTAGTGTCTCTTCAAAGCTATTGAAAATGTCGTCACGAAATCAGAGTTGACAGGTATTTGATTCACCGCCGCCGACATCACTTCAAAAAGCTAACCCTACATGTGACAATACCACTCTCGCCCTAACACCTTGCGTTAGTAATCTTACAGAGACCCCAGGCTGATTTCAATTGCTTGAAGTGTCAGGATGAAGTGTTCGGAGGCGACGCACCCCACCGTGCCCCCTTGTATTCTCCGCGTTTCCTACACGACTTTAATCCAGGCGTGTCCCGATCACGTCGCGTCCACTTTCTGGTCACCTTCTGCTTTTGCCTTACTCCACCCCAGGTCCACTCGCCACTAATAACCTCCTCTTTGTGACCTAATGAAACCTGTCTTCTCCCCCCCTCTCACTCAATCCATCCCCCGTCTGTTCCCAACCACTCCTGGTGTGATAATGGAGGATAATGACCCGGGTGTTATTGTGGCACACATTCTTGGTGTCAGGCCCAGGCTCCAGTCCCCTAACCACCGGGCTATAATCAGAAGAGTCCGATCTCGACATGACAGCGAGTTTGCCTGTAATCAACCCGCGCTATTCTTCTATTCTCGCCCAATGGACCCCGTCTCCTCTCTGGTCCTTTCTACCGCTAATGAAACTTTACCATTGTTGTACCCCGGGTCTATTCTTCCGCCGGTTCTCTCGCAATCACGTTTTGTAGCCTGGCTATTCAGGTCCTGTCAGAAGCACAATTAGAGTTAGCAAATTGTTGCTTTGCCTCGCGCCGGGGACCAGGTCCCAAGGCGCACGGGGCAGTCTACGGGGCATTGCGCCCGGGGGCATGCGGGCTATGGGTGCGTGCTTTTTTAATGCATATTTTAGGACAGAAATCCTTCTTTTTGTTGACTTCTGCAAATGAACATCTGTAATGCGTTTTAGCAATCTGTTGAGAAAAGATATCGTTTTTCCCCACCGAACTAACGGTTTTAAATCAATATACACGGGTATATACTACGAAATTAAACAAAGATTTTCAAAACAGATTGAGGTACAACTAGTTTAGGGTTGTTTGTGTTTACATGTCAACAAGTTTATATCAAATAACACCAAATCAAACATCAAATAGCTACACTCTTGAATATACTCAATACATATTGCATCAGGCTCAATAACAGCTATGCTTCTAGTTATTCAAAAACCTTTTAACCCTGTCTCGTCCCCAGGGTACTTGTACTTGGCACTTAATACTTGCACGTGCTGGAAAATGTCACAACAGATGAGCCTGTATGAACCACAGGGCCGTAATCCAAACGCATGAATGTCCAATTTTCGTTTTAAAGGCATCCAGTGCAGTTTTTAAGGCTTGGAAACGCGATTTTGCAGAGCCAATATTCTAGCCATTTATCTACGTACAAAGTTGAAACCACACTATCCCAATGTATATTGAAACTCATGGAGCGAAAATTACCAAAATTCTGACGGAAAATGGTTACTGTGGGGGCCCTGGGCTGCTTTTCAGGGTGCCACTGAGAAAATACTAAAGGACTCATCTTGGGGCTTGTTTCTGTAGTTTTAAAAGCCCAAGGTATGAAATGCTGACTCAAATGCACTAATGTAAAGCAGTATGTGTCGATATCACAAAGATTGCCTTATTCAGAATATTTCCAGTTTTGCTGCCCTGAAATCGCATTGGATGCGATCGTCATGTCATGGATTCACGTAGCACTGATTTACCCTCGTACTAACGTTAACGCTTGTAATGCTGTAAAATGTTTATCGTCAGTACCAAAATGACACTTTATACTGTGATAGCTACTTTGGATATTACATTCTAATCGCATCATTAAATTGTCCTAACTGTAAATTCTGTAGAGGTGTAGGGTGTGAGCCTCTGCCCACTTTTAGCACATTTATGTCATTATTTCATACTTTGGGCATTCACAACAGTGCAGAACCAAACCACGTTTATTTTTCAAATTTAGTCCTATTCCAACGATCTTATAACACTTTTATGTGCCGGTAACAATGAGGTTATTTTCAATGCTTAGTTACGCAAGAATTGTTATCCAGTGTTTTCTACACTATTAGAATAATCAAATGTAAACAGTAGAGTCAGAAGACTATAAGATTATCTCCGAGTATTCTTTCTGTTCTTCACCCCTGCCGTTAGTTCTGTAATCTGTTGCTAGGTTACGGTGTCTCCTACCTCTATAGTACAAACCTTGGTGTGTCATTAAAGCCCAAAAGGCGTTTGTGTACCAACCCTGTAATTTCAAGTCAACCGCTGAGCTGTATCGCAACGACAGCAAGTTGGACAATCCTTCACTTTAAAGGTACCCGGTGCAGTATCAGTGTTTTAAGACTGGAAACCTATAATGCAATGTGTATGATGATGACACGTCCTGTCTGTATCTGCCAGCATAACCGCCCTTCGGCGTAACAGACCAGCTTTGCAGGCACGCGGCGCGGCGGCAGCTGGCTACATTACACCGAACAACTTGTTACACCTAACCCATGAACATCTAACTCTAAACATTGTGTAAATATAATGCCCCTACTGTACTTAGTGACAGCGAGTTCCACTCTGCGATAGTTCTAGGAAAGAATGAATTTTTGAACACCTCAATCCTTGGTTAGTAACTCTGGTACTGACTATTTCTTGTCCCTGTCCATTACAATCTTTGTGTTATTACTTCATATTTTGGGCATTTTATGATATACAAAACAGCACAGAAAAGAAGCCCACGTGAGGAGTCACTTATTTCTTGGAACCACCAATACATGTATTTCATTCCAGTCAGTAATGAGTATTTTCAGGGAGTTCTTACTACACAACAGCATCGCATTTTTTTTATCCATGAAAGTCAATTACAATGAGATCGTGTTATTTAAACTTACTACGGAATTAATTAAGATATTGAAGTACTGAAATGTATTGGGCACCTTTAGGTTTTGTTTCTGTTGCTTAATTCAAAGGTGAAAGCTTGTCAACACTCGCGATGACAGTGATTGTATTTCAAACGAACGTGATTACAATATAATTTGACACATTCATAAATTACGTAAAGGAGAGTAGCTAGCAATTTAAGTGCGATGTAAATATTTCAGCGGCCTGGCAGATTTATTTTACCGTATGTGGATTTACGACATTGTGATCAAATGTCACCCAATGAATCTGGGGGTGATTTTACGACATTCTAAGGCTTGTTATTTGGACTAGAACCTTATAATTATTTACGCTATAAGGCGCATTTTGAATAGGCCAACACTCTTCTACTTGTTAAGCCGACGCATTTGCCTTACGAGAAACTGCTCTACGTTTTTCTGACCACATCCTTGGTTTTGAGAACATTTAGTAAAATTCATGTTCCTCTGGAAAAAGACGAACCGTTAACAAATGAAATATCAGAAAAAGTGTACTACATATTTTAAAGAGGCAAGAGAGACCAGGATCATAACATCTACTTGGAGATTGTCTTTCTTCGGGGGTCAGAGGAAGATCTGTGATTAAGTAGCGCTTTAGAGCGAAACCTATCAGTTCCATTATTCTGATTGATTTAATAAGAAAATGAAGTGATCGCATTGTGTGGAGTGACGGACTGACCCCTCTTGTCATGGGTGGTGAGCAATGACCAGTACAGATGTCCAACCTTCGCCGGGATGGTTAGCCTCCACCAGGCCTTTCTACGGGAATACGGATCGTAGAATTCGGCAAAAAGGAGAGTAAAATTGGTCAGAGGAGTCCGGCCGCGGAAGGTTGTTTCTTTCCCTCCGCGGCCAGTCAAACCCCAAGGCGGTCAAACACTCCTGGCAAATATTCTCCTATATATAGCCAGCGTAGTTAGTCTTTTAGAAACTAGGGATGGTAACTTTTGCGGGTATTTGAAGGCCGGCCCTTTCTGCGTTTCGATGTCCCTCTCTAGTTATGCAGGTTTTTCGTTCTCTAGAAATGGACATAGAAACGCAAAAAATGCCACAAAATGAGTTATATTTAATTATGGGGGAAACGAGTAACAATTTACTGGCAACCCAGTCGTTCTGTCATGTTACAGAACTATCAGCATCGGCCTTGTCCCTTTGCATAATTTTTTGTGTCTAATTTGATCTTTCAAAATTGTCTGAAAGGTCAGGTCGGCCTTGACACAATTTACCGTCATACCAGCAGAGCGGCCCTGTCTGGTCGGACTGCGGCTAGAGCCTATAATTTAGTCCACGTCAAACCAATCATACAATTAAGCTGCCCCTGCGACCGTCTAGCTGGGAAGCTAGTCAAAACATACTGGCCAAAACAAACC